GAGAGACAAGCAGTGGCTGTGACAACGGAGTGGGATGAAGTTAGTAGTGGCAGAGGTCATAAAGTGGCCAACGGTAGTTACGAAGTCATCTTCCAGAAAGATATTGGCCAAATGTAGTTCAGGAACTTCTAGGTATTAGAAAAGCCCCAGGAAAAGATGGATGTTGATGAAGTCTTAGAGATTCATGTCCTACTCCTAGCTCCTAGATGGAATGCTTTGGCTAAGGAAATTCAGTTAGTGTCTTTCTGAGATAAAGGTCAATTGGAGAGCGTTCTTGTGGACTTTTTAGCTTCCTAAACTGGATTTAAGACACAGTTAGATTTTTATGAATTTTTTCTCAGGCAGAAAAAAGATTGATTCCTTGAGAAAAATAAACCTTAGGTTTCATTTGATGTTCGTACTCTTTGATCTCCTTCAATTCCTGCATAAATCATGTCACAGAGTGAAGAGAATATTAATAAACAGAAGAGAGAGAATTTCAAAAATGTATAGCGAAGGAACAAACTAATCGATGAAAATAGTTTAGAATACTCCAAAAATAGAAAAAATAAAAATAAAAAGGTTTAGTATACCACCATTCCAAAGTCCACAAGGAAAATATATCCTGTGGAAATGGGTTTTTTACTATCTTGGGCATGATCTTGTACCTTTTCTAATTCATGGAAATGATTTTGATATTCTGAAGACTCCTGACGTGATTTTTGCAAATCCTCCTCCAATGAAGCGACTTTTGCCCGTAAAGATACCAACTCTTCCTATTTAATACAAACAAGAAACTAGATTTGAGATGTCAAAATTTAGTGGCACCGAGGCAAGACATTTCACACAAAACCTTTTCCATTCAACAAACTGGAATAAAATTCATCAGAAACAAAACAACACTTCACAAGTCAACAAACTCTTAAGTTGAGAAAGCACGTGTAATCTTTTTCTCAAAGGTTCCAAATCACCCAATTTCATAGTCATATAAATACTTTTTTGCACTCGTTTAGACACCAACTCCATAGGATTTTTACATAAACATATAACGAAATCATACCTCCATTGGAGAGCGATTATCAATGCGAAGCTGCTCTTTACTCATCCCATCCTGCAAAACCAGAGATTGATTATTAATAAACCAATGGTTCATGCTAAGTCTTGTGGCACTCCTTGCCTAAAAAATCTTGTAGCTGCTAATTGAGGATTTCATACTTTCCAGAACTCGTTGTAATATGCCAATTTCTTTTAAAAGTGGAAAATATTGATCAATTTAGGTTGGTTTTTCCAGTTGCAGGCAGTCAATTCATTAGTAAGAATGTTATTAAGTTGGCTTTTTAGTTTACCTTAAACCAACCCAATATATACCTAAACTATGCCATATTGGAAAAAAACTTTATTGATCTAGACCCTTCCCAATGAATAAAGGAAAAGCAAACATCTCATCAACAAGGATCCAAACTCCTTTTCCAACCCATGCAATCTTGAATGGGTAATGAAGGACAAGGAATCACAAGTTGACTTGACAGATTTAGCATGAAAAGATGAAACATATTATCTCCACTACCATCACTAAAATCATCTAAAAAACCGTATCGTTCTTGCTGCAACAAGTCCTGAATACTGTATGTTGTTGAGAAGGTCATTTCAATTTTGGCAAGAGTAAGAGTCTTTGAAAAATGTAGGCTAAATGCTCCCCTTCACCCCCTTCAACATAACACCCATGACTTCTTCATCGCCTACCTGAGTCGCATTTTCCCCTTCCAATTCCTGCTACACTACCGCCTAGTAGACTGCTAGATTGCAGTACAAGCATCCATCCAATTAGTGACCCATTCGATTACTACAGATGACAACTAAAAACTTGTGGAAAAGCAGGACCGCAGTTTCACAAACATTGTCAGCTACCAAAACCTGAATGAGAGTCTCCACCAAAATTATACAAAGTGTACCGAAGAAAAGAATTTCAAGACCTCCTTTTCTTTCCTTCTCTCTTTTCTTTTGATAAGAAACAAACTTTCATTGATAAATAAAATAAACAAACAAACAAGATGTCCAAAGATGAGGAGTCTTACAGAAATGAGGATTTCAACCAAATAAGTAACTTTAATCAAATGGTCAATCCATCATGAAAAATTAAACAGCATCAAATTGTTCAATTAAAGCATAGACAACACTACAGAATTAACTAATTTATTAGACGGGCCTTACCTTAAGGTATAAACTGTCAAGTTGACCATTTGTAGGTAGAATTGTGGAGAGAGAAATTTGTGATTTCATCTGATCATTAACTCTTGACCCACGACCTCTACTCGAGAGTGATTGTCCCCTTCCTCTACCTTGTTTTTTCCTATTTACATCCACATTCTTTTTGGTCTCTATGGAATCCACCACGCTTTGCTTTCCATCTTCCACTGCCTGAATGGGTTTTTAAAGAGTTGTAATATTGTTAAAAAAAAGAAAAAAAAAAGTTCCAAAGAGAGAAAATATCATGATGACAAGTGGCAAAAAATGATTAAAACAAAAGTAACAAGGAGAAGGCAAATCAAACTCAGTTAAGTGCTCAAGAAAGAAGACAGCGAGCTTTGATGCAGTAATGGGAATATAAAATCTCGATAGCCAATTAATATTCTATAATGAAATTAGGGTTTACAGATGGTCTATCTTATTCAAACAATAGCAAAATTTATTCCAAACCATAACCAAAATAATAAGAACGACCTCAACACGCTCAGGAAGGGATGAGTCATTGGCCTCTTGAAGTTTCTGGCGCTTCCTAGTGTTGGCTTGGATGAGGAAGCCATCCCCAGTCTAGCATACATAGAAAATAAAATATCATCAAACTCAGAATAGATTATCTTTCAGAGTTCAATTTCCCACAGGTAAAAATGCAAAGAAATTAGATAATAAAAAATATGACTGAGAATAAGGCATACTCCACCTAAAAGAAGGAAAGTGTCCGAAAAATGAGACTAACGGGCAATAAGTAAACATGAAGAGTCTTTCAAAAGGAAAAAAAATTGAACGATTTTGTAATGGAACTTACACCTCACCATTAATTAAACTTTCAAATGATAACGAGTCTTTCAACAGGCAATACGCATATTATTCCATTGTGTAGTGGCTTCCATTATTTATAGTTTGTTACTCATAATAAACTCCTTCACAATAAGTTTTTATTATTGAGAACTAAGAGAAATGTATCTACAGTTCCTGAACTCCTCAACGAAGTTCTTAAAATTATTACTCCATTACAAGCTAAAATGAATACAGAAAAGATATTCTAAGACTAAAATGAATCTCTCTTAATTTACCCAAAATTATCAACGTCAACCTTTCAAAAACAGAGCATCGCAAGAAGAACAAAGATCATGCACACAAAAGTAATAGGGGAAATATCATCATTCTATTAGTGGGTTTGTGCATTCAAGCAAAACTCCAGTCAGTTCCAAAAGGAAGAATTAGAACGGCGGAGTGTTTGATCAGTAACAAAAACTCAATTCTCAAAATACAGAAAAGAAGCGGAATGAATTCAACATTCACATAGAATATTAAACGGAACTTACGCCATCATCTGAATCACTCGAAGTGGTTGGCTCGATCAAATTTTCAGAGGCGACAAATTTCACAGCATGTGAGACGGAGGAGGTCCTGGTTGACTGCGACTGAGCAGGCGGCTGGGTGGACGAAGTCTTACCGACCATACGAGCTTCGAGCTTGGCCATTTTGGCCGGCAAAGATTGGTCCGATTGGTTGGATGAATTGGAGGAGAAATGAAGCAGCATATCGTCCGACATTGCGTAAACGACAATGCAGGAGCAATTTATAATGAAAAAACAGCGTATTCAGAACCATTCAACAAAATACGTAATCATGTTCGTTCCCGAATTGACTCAATTAGAATTTGATGTAAATCCTTCTGTAATGCAGGGCTCCATTGCATGCAAATACAATCTATGTGCTACCCTTTACTTACGAAAGAACACCCTTACAGCCATAATCATGCTGTGTAGAAAATGAAGCTCTTGTGGAACTGGGTGCATAGACAAACTGCAACAACCAATCAAAGAAATCGAGAACAAGTTCAAAAAGTCGTCCCAGTACAAAACCCAACTGAGTAAGAACAAAATTGAGACAGAAAAAGTGAAAAGGAAATTAGGGTTTTCACAATTAGGATAGAAACCAATGAAGGGAAGCAATAAGATCAGCAAAAACAAATCTATGGTGATACAACTAACTTGAATGCTTAAGAGAGTCACAAGCAAGGTTTTGTATGAAGGAATATAATCAACAGCATATATGACTCCAAGACCATGGAGGAGAGAGAAAAGAGAGAGAGAGAGAAAGAGGGAAAACGAAGAGTTGATAAGAACAGAGGATTTAACCTTTAGACTTCATCTTTGCAAATTGCAATGCTTGTGTGAAATGCCCCAAACAATCAAAAACCCTAATGAAGAAATGAACACTTTTTGTTTAGATGGATGAGTTAGAGAAGGCAATTCTCATGTGGCCTAAACAATTGACCTCTTCCAATAAAGTTCAATTCACAAAAGAAAGGAAGCAAACAACCACACTATAAAATGCTTACCACCAAAGCATCAACCAAATATAAATCTAAAAGAAACAGGATTCTTTATTAAAATCAAACATGATGATAATAAAATATAACATATTTGTTCCATTTTGCACCTAGTTGACTAATAAATTAGTTACCATATTATTCATAATAAATATAAATTTAGTTATTTGTATCTTAATTCAAATGAGTATCTTAGTCATTCTCGTCTAAATTTTTAAAATTTTTAAAGTAACGAGGTTTTGAAATATTTAAGAAAAATCGAACATATTATAATTTTTCAAAAATTTACCATATTATAATCTAACCCTTCAATAAATCAAAGATTGATCATTTGTGGTATCTGTCAGTTCATACACATTTCAACTGAAAATAAATCCACCTGACTTCTATATTGTTAGTTTTTTGTTCTTGATCAGATTTGGAACTTTGAGTTACTTAATGCTTGGTTTCTTCTAGTATAAAAAAAAAATAAAAAATCAAATTTGTAACTTTCCTTGGAGAATTCAGAAATTGTACATTACACAAACTAGTACTTTAAATTACTGGAATTCACACTAACTAAAATAAACTATTGACATCTAGGATGTAGCTCAAGTTCAATCATCTACAAGAAACAGAAGAAGAGCCATGGGAACGCCAAGTAATAACAGAGCAGAAGCTATTTGCCTTTCAGATTTTCATAGCAATGTACAACAACAATGCAGAAGAGTGTTGAGCCTGCTCCATGTCGCTCGTGTTCGATGTCACGATGTCACCGTCCAAGACATCTGCAATGAAGAAGAAATGACAATGTGAGAATCAAGCTCAATACAGAAATTGAATCCCAGTGAAAATCTGTAGACTAGAAATTTGGAATTTGAATCATTTGAAAACTATCGTTAGCCTGATAGAACCTCTGCCAATATGGTAATATCTGAAGTAAGAAGTCATTTTCATTTCCACCTAAGATATTGGAACTTTTCTGATAATAATACTCGCATGCTGAATCAACATGCATAGAGAGGTGTAACCATAACCAGCATAATTCATCGCTAAACAACACAAACCCGACAACGTAGTCGAACTGTTCACACGAAAGAAAAATCAAGGAATATGATTCAGAGAAATTGATAGATGTTTAAAATTATAAAACTGCAAATGAAGAAACCTGCAGGCCAAGAGCAGTAGGAATCATGTCATCAACTAAACTCAATAAGTGTAATCTGGTACTATCACGAATGAAGAAATAACTTACAATTATCTTATATTATGCGATGAAATCACTAGACAAAATAACAAATCTTTGAGCAGTATATCTTTCCCACAGCTACCAATCACTCTAATCAAATAAGACTTTCTACCACCATCCATAGCTTTTCCTTCTTCCTTCATTGCTAAAGCCCCCAAATCTAGATGCCGAGAATCCGTTCTGAGGCGCTATACTGGATTGGAATGACATTGGAGTCCCTGGATGTAATGTGCGCTCCCTTGTGAGAGATTGAGGACTTGCATAGTAACCGGAAGATCGAGGAGGGCTTGCATAGCGACCAGAAAATTGAGGGCTTGCATATTGACCAGGGTATTCCGTATAATAACCATGATCCCACCGAGATGGTGTAACGGGAGAATTCCAGTTATTATTCATGGATGTGCCATTGAAGAAGTTGCGAGAACCCGGATCCTCCATCATCCAGCGACCCTTTTGTCCTGACTTCCTAGGCAGGTTAGTGTATTTTTCTTCATAGTTTATCTTTTTCTTCTTGCTATGAGCCTTTGCAAGATTATGAGGTGCAGATTTTGACCCCATATGGTACATTTCTGTTTTTGACCTCGATTTAGGGTTCGATAAATCACGTTTCTTCTTGCAACCCTGTGAATGCTCCATGAAATAAAATGTTAGAATCACATTCTCACAAGATATATAAGTATGCATAATAAAAAGAACTCCTAATTTTCATCTGATAAAACATGCCAAAATGTAGGATCTTTTATCTACCTTGGTGGAACTTGTGCACTCTCGGGCAAAATGCCCTTCTCCACCACATCTATAGCATGAGTTAGTTGACTCAGCGCCAGAAGCTACTTCAATATTCCTCTTGCTACCCTGAGCAAGTTCCATAAAGTACAAGTTTAAAATCACATGTTGACAGGAAATATAAGTAAATGCATCAAACTGAACATGCTCTCCTCATAACTTTTCCCTAATAAAACAGGCCGATGTATAGGGTTTTTTTTATCTACCTTGGTGGAACTTGGGCACTCACGGGAAAAATGCCCATCTTCACCACATCTATAGCATGGGTTGGGTGATGCAGCACCAGAGGCATCCTCCCGATTCTTCTTGCCGCCCTGAGCAAGCTCCATAAAGTATAAATTCAGTATATGGAACTGTTCAATAATCATTTAGTTTATTATTTCTGATTTTTTAAAATTGTGCTTGTTTTCTTATCATTTCTCTACAATGGATTTCATCTTTGTTACTGTAGTATTAAGGCTTCAAGAGTTCTTTAAACTACTGTTTTAAGTTTTCAAATTCTAACAAAGTTTTTGAAAACTTTTGTATTACGTTTTTAAAAGTTGACTTGATTTTTTAAAACACATAAAAAGTAAACAACCAAACCCATAAATGGAAATAGTATTTATAGGCTCAAGTTTCAAATACAAAAAACCATGAACTAAATTGTTGTGAATGGGACTTTTGTTTTTGGTTTTTGAAAATTGTGCTTATTTTACATCATTTCTCTATAAGGGGGTTTTATCTTTCTTAAGAAATTATTTGAATTCTTAGTCACATTCCAAAAAATAAGTTTTTAAAACTGTTTTTTTTAGTTTTAAAAACTTAGGCTTGGTTTTTTATAACATAAGTAAAAAGTTAGACAACAAAACAAAAAACCTCATAAAGTACTATTCATAAGCTAAATTATCATAAACCAAAAACCAAAAAACAAAAACCGATATGTAAGCTTTTTTTATCTACCTTGGCAGAAATTGTGCATTCACGGACAAAAGGCCCTGCTTTTTTGTCTACCTTGGCGGAACTAATGCATTCACGGGCAAAATGCCCTTCTTCACCACATCTATAGCATGGGCTAGGTGATGCAGCACCAGAGGCTTCCTCACGATTCTTCTTGCCACCCTGAGCAAGGTCCATGAAGTATATAAATTCAGTATAGACACTGTTTATAAAAACATTTATTTTTGCCTCTGGACTTTTAAAATTGTGCTTATTATCTTATCATTTCTCTACAATGGATTTAATCTTTCTTACTTTTCTTATCCAAATACTACAAAAATACAATTTTTTGAAAACTATTATGTTAAGTTTTCAAACATTGTCTGGATTCTTAAAAATCAACAAATCCGATAAATGGGAATAGTATTTATAAGCTCAATTTTCAAATGCCAAAAACCAAAAGCTAAATGGTTGTCAAACAAGGCCTTAGTCCTTGGTTTTTTATTTTTAAAAATTGTGCTTGTTTTATCACCATTTCTCTATAAGGGGGTTTCATCTTCCTTAAGAAATCCTTAAAATTCTTAGTCAAATTCCAAAACAAAAATAAGTTTGTGAAACAACTTTTTTAAGTTTTCAAAGCTTAGGCTTGGTTTTTGAAAACATATATAAAACATAGACAACAAAACAAAAAACCTCACAAGTGCACGTATTATTTATAAGATTAATAATCATAACCAAAAACCAAATGGCTATCAAAATAAATATTTTCTCCTTATTATTTGTTGAAAAATATAAGCCAATATGTAAGCTTTTTTATCTACCTTGGCGGAACTTGTACACTCACGGGCAAAATGCCCTTCTTCACCACATCTATAGCATGAGCTGGCTGATACAGCAGCAGAGGCTTCCCCACGTAATCTCGAGCATGCCTGTAGATTCACATACACACAGCCCAAAAGATTAATCAACCATGTGCAATAAACTTAGAAGCAAGGACCTTAATTTAAAAGGAATGAGCTCTCTTGTCAACAAGGTTCGAGTGATTACAAGTTCCTGTATTTAAATATTCTTTGCTCGCATGTACTGAGACATACAACAATAATAAGTGAAAGCAACACTATAGACCCTGCCAATATTGGCCCCCTCTCCTACTTTCTCACATGTTGACTCACTAAACAATGAACTCTTTAATTACAAGCATACATTAGCAACTCATTAATCCCAATAATTTGACTTGCGCAAGAAAATACAGTCATACATAAGTCCAGCAATCTAGAAATTTGTCAATGCTCAAAAATCAGAAAAATCCAGAACTGCCGCCAAATTTGCTGATTATTACTGCCAGCCAGCGTGAGAGCAAAACAAGTGGGCAATTGCATATAAAAGCAAGACAAACTTTTATATATATATATATATATATAAAACACAAAAGTAATACGCAAACAAAACAAGAGAACGTCTTAAATGGAAAATGAAAGGTGATACGAGTATCATGTGAACATCGTACAGTCAGATAGGACATATGAACATAGAGGACTTACCAGACCAGTATGTCCAGCCTGTCCACATTTATAGCAGGAAATGTCTACTGAAGTGTCGCTGGTGGAATTCACACAACATAAGTGGCCTAATTTCTTACAAATGTAGCATTGTATGTTCTGGAAAAAAAAAGTTTTACAAGACACGTTTAGAAAAATGATACAGCATGCAAAATAACTCTGGAAAAGAACCAAAAAAGTACACTATATTAGGACCTTGAGATCATCATCTGGATAACTACTTTGGCAAGAAAACATATCATGCCCAGGATCTCCACATTTTAAACATATTTTTGAGCTTGAAGAAACCTTCAAATGCTTCTCTGGACAGTCTTTTGCACGATGCCCAACTTTGTTGCAAATATAGCAGTCTCGTGCCTGGGAATAGTAAGGAGTAGGTTTTTAATTTTAATGAAATCGGAATGAGCAAGAAACAGGAGAACATAGAAGAAGAAAATATTACAAAACTGTGAGACACTCGGGTTGATTGTGAATAAACTGGATAAAGATTGATCATAAGAAAGCCAATAAACATATTCTAGCCTCAGAATGAGGAATATGGATTTCAGACCAGAGGACTATGGAGACATTAAAAATGTAAAAAGAATTTACCTCAGCAACAAAGATATTAGATAAAGAGTATAATTTCTAATTTTCATTAAAAAAAAAAAAAAAAAAGGTATGCATGGATATAAGGATACCACATTGAGAACAACACATCTCCATATAAGAGAATTCTTGCACTTCAAGCGCCAGACTGTTTGAGGAACACCCCTCCACAACACCCCCCACCCCCACCCACCAAATGAAAAGTTTGAAGCATCTAGGACAGGTGTAAGAAAAGAAGAACAGAGGGAAGTAAGATGCAGATAGATTGTGTATCTTCCTGACCTTTAAGCAACTCCTTGCATTGTGCTCCAGACTTCCACAGACAAAGCATGGTTTCTTCCGTTTAGCTGATGTGCAACTGACAGCATTATGACCTTCCTCACCACAATTATAGCACGCTCCCCAACTATCTGGAGGGTCAAAGTATCTTGGTCCACGCTGGGAGAATAATATGTAAGAGATACAAAACTAAGCCTCCACAAACATCAGTTTTCCTTAACGGTAATTCAGAGAAGTTAAAGGGACTCACAAGAAGTTTCCTAAACACGTTATTATTAGTTGTGTCAGTAATGTTTGGTTCCTCCGAATCAACTTGATCTATCAATGGAGTTGTCTCGATTTCAGTAATTTTTGGTTCCTCCGAATCAACTTGATCTATCAATGGAATTGTATCGATTTTCTCTCCTTCTGTGACAACCACCTAAAATCAAAGGAAGCAGCAAGACAATGAGAAATAGCCAAACCCCACGATCCTTTTTATCAGATTAGAGGAAAGGAAATACAATATCTGGATAGCAATTTAAGATGGTTTGTTCTTTGAAACTCGTGTAATATTATCAAATATTTTGTTTTCCATCAACCACAAAAGCAGGCAAAATTTCCCTAAGTACACAGTTTTAAGTTCAATGAGCCCTCCTAGACCGAGTTTAGTATTTCTTTCTCGCCACAGTCGTCGTGTCATCAACAGAACTGAAGAACCCGTCTCTTAAGCCGTGTAAATGTCCTAGAAAATGAACAATCCTTCTATATCTCATTCCCTCCCACTAGATTCTTTCAAAAAGACTAAAGCGGAAGTAGAAAAATACTCACGGGGGGCTTTTCAGTTTCCAGCTTCTTAACTTTCCTCTTCCTCTTCTTCGCTGACTTCTTACTCCCCAATTCCCGCGCCTCAGAAGCAGCAGCGATGACATCGACGCTGGTTCCGCTAGTTCCGGCACCAGTGTCAGCATCCCCCAAAGGCGACGAAGACACTTCGACAACTCCAACACCGTCAACATCTCCATTACCACTCCGTTCACGGTTACCAACCTGATTATGGTCGGGAAAGCGGACCAACTTTCCGGAGCGCAATCTCAAAGCCTTCTCAACAATCTTGAGGCTGAAATCTTCATTGGCCTCTTCGTCGTCACTGCTCACCACAACGGTAGTCTTCGAAGCCCTCTCTTTCAGTTCGTCTTCGTCTTCGTCTTCCTCGAACTTGAACTTCTTCTGCTTGCCTCTCCTCCCCATCCTCCAAATTCGAAACTGAATCAAACTGCAATCTGGTAAGAAGCCCTAATTGAATGGTGAGGAGAAGAACTAAGCAAACTTGGCAACTTTTTCTTCAACTTTGAGGTGGCGCTAGGGTTTCCACACAATCGGTTTATACTACTACTATCTCTCTCTCTCTCTCGAACAATTCGACGACATGTCGTTCCGTCAAGTTAAAGAAGCCGTAGTCCATCCTGTATCGATATCGGTATATCCCGCGAGCCCGCCAATTTAATTTTGAGCCATTAAACGCTGCGTTTAACTCGTCTAAATTTTGATTTATTTTTTAAATATTGCTTATTATAAATGAATTATATTAATTAAAATTAAAATTTACTATAGGTGAATCAATCCTCAACAGTTTTTAAATTAATTCAATTTAAAAGTTAAATTGATAGAATTATAAATTTTTATAAAAAAATCACATAAAATACAAATTGATGCCGTTATAAAAAGTTGAGAATTAAATTGATAAATTTTAAATTCATAAGAGAATTTAATAAATTTACACCAAAATTTAATTTAATTTAATTTAATTTAATTTAAATGTGAAAATTCGCTGAAATTATAATCTAATTTAACCTCCATTATTGGGAGAAAGAGCAAAATTCAGTTGTGAATGGACGGTTATCCTTTCAGCATAATTAGGAGCTGGCAGACGCCCCTCATCCGCTCGCTGCTGCTTCACCGGGTTCGAGCGCTCCCAGAATCGCTGCTGCCGAGATAGACTACCACCAAACTCTCTCCCCATTTCCCATCGATGTATGCGCTACCTTCTACGGCCGCTCTTAACGTCGTTCTCCCTCAGCTTCCATTGCTAAAATCTGAAGTTCCTCTTCTCTATTGCTGTTCTTGTGCTTCTGCTTCTGCTTCTGTTGCAACCACGTCTTCCGCCGCGGCGATACACTCAATCAGCTCCGTTATCCATCCCGTTTTGCTCTTTAATAGCTACGACGCGCCATTGGACACCCAAACTTTTCTTGCTACTTTCAGCGTTTTGGTCGCCATTTCTCTGTCCCTCTTTCTTGGTCTGAAGGTATCGCTTCTTTGCCCATTTCTCTGACGGTTTGCTTGTGAATTTATTGTTTGGAAGTTGTGAGGATGATTAAATTTTTTGGTTCGGGTTTTGCAGGGTGGTCCTGTGCCTTGTGAGCGATGTGCTGGAAATGGTAACTATAGTTTGCTTCAGAGTTGCGTTTAGTTTAGAGCCTTCAGAATTAAATCTTACATAGCCATGAATTATGAAGTAGCAATTTAAGGGATGAATTTAATACTAGTTCTGGTCGTCTCTTAGGATTGAATTTATTTATTGATTAAATTGTTTTACAACACA